CTCTGTCTACCAGCCACATATTTTCAGCCATTTTCCTGTTCCTCTCCAGCCTTTGGCCCCATGTTCCTTTTCTTGTTCATAAGTCTGTAGTTCAATAAACTCTTAACAAATACGTACTGCAATAGTCAGGATTCTCCAGAGAAAGAGAACCAGTATAGAGACAAATATGGAGGAATTTATTTTAAGGGACATGACTGTGGAGGCAGGCATGTCTAAAATTTGCAGGTAGTTCTGGGAAACTGGAAATTCTAAGAGCTGATGTTGTGAGTCTTCAAGTGAGGAACCTGAGGCACAACGAGTTCACAGGCCTTCCTCTTCCAAGGATGGAAATCGGCAAAAAAGGAGCCAACTTCATTTAAACGTTCTGTTGCCTGTTTTGGTGGAATGCACAAACAATTCACCACCAGGCAACAATGCATCGTCTGAAAGGAATACAGAATTAAAGAGATTTTGTGCTCAACCTGTCAGGGAAGGAGACACTGCGACAGCCTGACACAAAAGTGTGGTTCAATTGTTTGGGGCTTTAGGTAAGTGATGGGTTCAATTGTTTGGGGCTTTAGGTAAGTGTGAAGAGAGATAAATTACAAAGAATTGCTGCTTCCTGGAGACCAAGAAAGCCCTGAGTCAGACACAACTAAACTGAACACTGATCTACTTCTATCAGTAAACACTGGTCACTTTAGTGAGAAAGAAAAATGTTCTATCTAAAAGAGGAACATAATTAGTTTGTTGAAATAAATGATTCTTGTTATATACTAAATGTTTGTACCTCCCACCCTCACCCCCCCCACACAGATTCATATGTTACATCCTATTGCCAGTGTGATGGTATTTGGATGTGAGGCCTTTGGGAAGTGATTAGGTCATGAGAGTGGAGCCCTCATGAATGGGATTAGTGCCTCAAAGAACGTGTTATGGTTTATTGAGTTGTATATTGTCTTGGCCTTTGACATAATTCCACCTTCCTACATCTCATTGCACAATCGATGTTAGCATTTCAAATTGCCTTGGGGTAGTACAATAGCTGACAAAAGTGGAGGCACAACCTCTCTTTTTATTTTTTTAAAGAGCAGCCCAAATGGACTAAGGCAACAAAGAACTGCTGCCCATGAGATACATGAAACAGAAAACTTGCATATTTACAATGGTGTTTGTTGAAGCAGAATTTTACCTGGACATCATCTAAATGACAGCACAGAAGAAGTAGGAACTGTTCTTTCCTTTGGAACAAAATGGTTTATTGAGTTGTACATTGTCTTGGCCTTTGACATCCATCTTCATAATTCCACCTTCCTACATCTCATTGCATAATCGATGTTAGCATTTCAAATTGCCTTGGGGTAGTACAATAGCTGACAAAAGTGGAGGCACAACCTCTCTTTTTTTGTTTCCCTTTTTAATAATTACACAAAATTCACCAAGTATAGAGTTAGTGGTTGGGTTTGGGCAACTAAATTAAGCCAAGCTCACTGGCCCATCCATGGATCTAAGTATTTAGCCCAGTTTTGAACCATTGAACGAGACACCAGAGGTCCAAAGTTCCTGAACCTCTAGGTGGCACAGCCCCCAGAACATTTTGGCAGTTAAAAGCCCGACTGTTATGTCATCCATTGGGAAGATGAAACGTGTGACCAGAAATATCTCCTATGGGGTGGTTTATGTCCATTTCCTCTGACATAGCCATCACTAGACATCACTGTAGAGACCATTTGGCAGCTTTCTGAAACCAAGATGGAAACCTAGAAAGTTAGGAGATACCCACGTTGGAGAAGAGCTGGAATTGATTAACTATTGGTGATGAAGTCACTTATTTTTTTGTCAAGGGTAGAGACGGGGAGATATTTTTAAGAGACTGAACACTTTTTGTTTTATCAAGGAAACCCTGAGGCAGCCCAGAGAACCCAAACAAGAATCAAGATGACCAATACTTTCCCACCAGCCAGATATCTGACCAGGCTGGGAGGAGCAGTCTCACAAGAATCAGGGAGATAGGCTGCCTTTTTGTCCAGTCACTGTGAGATGACAGGGTCACAGGGTCACTCAGATCTGTTTGTTAATCCTTGTGCCCCCTAACTGCAGGGTGGCTTGTTAGATAGGAGGATAGTGAGGGGAGCTCTACAGAGGGGCAGCCTTATCGAGACTCAAGGGTTCCCATCTAGCTCTAACCCTGTGCACAGACACTCGGCAGTATTGACTAATACCTGTCATTAGAAAAATACTGCTCTAGACCCTGAGGGGAGTTACAAGGGCTGTAAAGGTCCTCACCATTCATGAGAGTGGAGGTATGACTCCATACAAAACCAGTCAATAGAAATGCAGGTGACCATCAACTTACCATCAACCTCAGCCACACAGAGACCTACACAAATACCCCACCAGCTCATTAGTGGAACACACGGCCAATCTTAGGACTAGAAGTAGACTCAGCAATCACCTGGAGCAAACTTCTGCCCAATTTGCAGATGAAGAAATGGGGCCCAGAGAAGGGAAGTTCTGTGCCCAATACAGTTAGGAGGAGGCAGAATCAGGCTGTGGAGCCGTCCAGGGTCCCCAGTCCTGCCCTGGCTGCCTGTCTCCTCTGGTGAGTTATGGGAAAGAATGAAGTGATAGAAGCCAAATAATCCAACAATCTGGGTTTTAATCCCAAAGTGCTTCTCAATAGTCAAGACAGCACGTGGCTTTGCCTCTTTTTCATCTGTTAACTGACAGAAGAATAAAATGACGAGTTACAAAAATAGCACGAGGATAGTCTTGCCCCTGAACTCTACTTTATCTTCCTAACATAGTTATGCCAGCCTTTCTTCCACTCTTAGCACAGCTTTCTCACTAAATCTATGCAAGCATGTTAGTTAAAGTATAAGTGCTGGAACCAGGGCCATTGCCCTTGCTGGCTGTGTGTGTGTGTGTGTGACCTTGAGCAAGTCCCTTAAAGGGCAAGTTTCTCCCATACTTGCCTGTTTGGAGAGTAAGGAGGTTGGACCAGATTCTCTCAAGATTCTGTTTAGCTCCATTGTGATGGTGCTTCTATTTATTGAAGAATGTTTTTTGTGGTTTTTTTTTTAAAAAAAGGAAAATGTGCCAATTAGAGGAGGAGGTGGGTCGGGGAGCAGGCAGTGGCGGGAGAAAGATGGATCGAAGAGCCTTTTCACTCAGCTGAAAACCGGCTTCTCTTCTTTCTCCTCACCTTGCTTTTGCGATGCTTATGATGACAGAGGAAGAACACAGGAGCTTTGAGTTGTCACTGAGGAAGACTGTGTGGTCAAGATGATGACCAGGAAGCCCAGGTTACATCACACAGCAAGTGACTGGCTAAGGGTTTGATGAAGGTTGGCTGTTTAGGCCCAGGCCAGAAATGGAGGGTATCAATGAGATATAAAACCTGGGGATGTATCAGCTGGGGTGGACTAAGTGATCACCAGGGTTACCCGCTCTAACTAGCTTGGATGCCGTCTGCAGGGGAATTGGAACTAATGAACGAGAAGGCCTGGAGATGGGGCCCAGGGGTCTGCAATTTCACCAGCACCTCCGATGATTTTTAGACTTAGATTTCAAAACCTCAGATGTGGTCCATCCCCTCACTTACAAATGAGACTCAGCTAGTTCTTTTTTCTCTGCTTCCCTCTAGTGCAGTGGTTCTCAACCTTCTGGCCCTTTAAATACAGTTCCTCAGGTTGTGACTCAACCAAAAAATTACTTTCGTTGCTACTTCATAACTGTAATGTTGCTACTGTTATGAATCGTAATGTAAATATCTGATATGCAGGATGGTCTTAGGCGACCCCTGTGAAAGGGTCGTTCGACCGCCAAAGGGGTCGCGACCCACAGGTTGAGAACCACAGTTCTAGTGGTTATTCAATGTAGAGAAGTAGAGTTTGATGCCAGCATTGCTCCCTCTTCTAAGTCACAGTGTGCAGGGGGCTAGCGAGGAAGTAGAAGAAGAAATGTGGGGGAGAAATAGCTAGAACATTCTCCAGGCCTTGGGCAAAGAGTGTTTTCTTTTCTTTTGCCTATTGCCTCTCCCCCCTCAAAATGTGTTAATGCTGGTGTGCACACATGGCCTCAGGTGTTATTAGGGTAAGAGAAAAGTTTCCTACCTCACCCTTCACAGAACTCATGGAGCAGGGGCTGTGGAGGGGCTGGTTCCAAAAGCAACTGTCCCCTCCCCACCCCTACCTCTAGCAGAGCCCTGACCTCCACTAAAGCCGTTTCTCTGAGATGGAGGACTGAGAACAAGCTGCATGCAGATAAAAACATCCGTCTCTTTTGCAGCTGACTCATTCGAGGTCACCCCAGGGAGCAGCAGGCCTCTGAAAAAGGCAGGAGCAGCGTGATTGGGGCATGTATAAATTAGGAAATGTGTAGTTCTAAGGGGGAAAATAATGGGTAGTTTTATTTGCAGAGCCAGCAGACAAATCTGGCACTCTGTGTGCTAAGACTTTTAAATATTTACAACCAAGAACCTACAGGAGTAATGGATGTTGCTACAGAAACCTTTCGGATGGAGGGTTACAAACTTGCTAGAGCCCTTTGCTGCATCATCTTTCTATGGGCCTTTCAACACCTTTTCTTTTTGTAATTAATGGCTAAATTCACCTTAGCAGATACTAGGTGGTAACATTTTGAATGCTTCCAGGGATCCAGGGCCTAGGATACGGCCATAGTGCAGAGGTAACAGCTATCCAGCAAAGAGGACCCTTTGCGGAAAAGTAGGTGGAGATGCTCAACCCATTGCAATTTAGCATTGAGGGCTCCTGAAACCTCCTTGCCCTGGAAAGTCACCCTGGAACGTATTTCAGGAAGCCTGAGAAGTTCATGTCCTCTTAGAACTCGAGCCACTCATAGGAAGTCATGACCAAAGCCCGGCTCCCAGGAAAAGGCTTCTTGGGGATAGTGAGACTGGGGAGTTTGTGAACTTGACCTTCCCAGAGTACTCTGGAGAGGGGAGGAGCGGACCCAGAACAACACATTCCATGATGGCACCTTTCTTCTGTTCTCCACAGTCACCAATGAGAATGCCTGGCCCCCACTGGAATATTCCACCAGGGAAACAGTCCGAGGAGAGTGTAAGCAACTTGTCCCAAGTCTCACCAACGTGAGCAGCAGGGCTAGGATTCCAATTCACATTCACCTGACCTCAAAGCCACACTGCAGGATATAAGTGCCTATGGGGCCATTTTCAAGTGCTCATGAAAGTAAGATTATGTTTTTAATTATTGAGGAGTGCTTCACTGAACCTCAGGTGCCTTATCTATAATTTGGGGCCAATAACACCCACCCACAGAGTTGCAGTGAATATTAAATCAGATAACACGTGTGTGTCAAGCATCCAACATTTTTTCTGGAACACAGAAGACTCATAAAACCAGAGAGCTATTATTTTTATTGCATTTGGGGAGTAGAAAAGAAATGAATGGGTTAGTTGAAATGTGCACTTTTTTTTCTATGACCCAATGCAGAGACAAATCAATGATCTTTGGGAATTGAAAATAAGTGTTACAAATTGCCAATTTGGACTTGACAAATCTTTAAACCAACTGACCAACCAAAGAGTGATTTCTAGGGTCAGTTGTAAGATATTGGATGGAAATGTACTCAAGGCTGTTTTGAATAGAAAAGCAACTTACAGAGTTATAAATATAAATAGTAAAGGGATAGCAAACACACGCGCACACACACACACACACACACGCACGCACACACACACACAATAGCATAATCATCAACCTGCCAGATCATAAGAAGATGACCATCCTTCTTTCCACATGTAATGAGCACCCACTACATGCTGAAAACTGTGCAACACATTTCTTTAATGACAGGTGAAGACCATCCCAAAGGAACCACTTTAGCAGAGGATAGTAACATGACTAACAAGTTTGCATCAGTAACAGCTGCTTGTACCGAAGCAATAATAGCTATTAGGAAAGCTTTTGCAAATATGATGTTCCTGAAATTGAGACAATTAATGATTTGAATGGAAAATGTTAGAAAGATGTGTTTATCCCTACTAATCAAAAAATGGGGGGGGGGAAGAGTAGGATTTATTTGTTTGTTTGTATGTACATATTTTTGGTCTCCCTGCACTTATGTAGCTGTAGGGGTTTGTAGAAGGAATATCAGAAAAATGACTTGCAATTTCAAAGAGTATATGTATTAGGTAAGTACCCATATTAATAACATATATAAAAATTCACTCAAAATAGACCAAATACCTAAATGTAAGACCTAAACGATAAAACTACTAGAATAAAACATAGGGCAAAACACTTCATGACTGGATTTGGCAGTGAATTCTTGGATATGACACCAATGACACAGGCAGGATAATAAAAAAATACACAGATTGGGTTGCATGAAAATTTTAAAAATTTGTACCACAAAAGACCCTATCAACAGAGTGAAAAGATAATCCACAGAATGGGAAAATATTTGCAAATCATATATCTGATAAAGGATTAATATCCAGAATATATAGAGAACTCCTAAAACCCAATAAAACCAACCAAACACAACTTAAAAAATGGGCAAAGGACTTGACTAATATTTCTCCAAAGGAGATATACAAATGGCCCATGAGCACATGAAAAGATGCTCAACATCACTAATCATCAGGGAGATACAAATCAAAACTACAATCACTTAGCCGTTATGGATCAGTGATTGAGCATCAACCTAGGAACCAGGAGGTGACACATCGACTCCCAGTTAAGGTGCGTGCGCACGTGTGTGTGTGTAGAGGTGAGTCAGGAACTGTCTCGGACCCAGTTGTGAAGAGGATACTCTGGGTGATCCTCTGTCATCTTACATGGCAGCGAGGACCCTCCCTGCCCCGACTTCAACACCTTTGCACACCACACGCTGACGATGCCATGTGCTCCAAGAAAAATGGACGCTCCCCGAAAATGCAGCCTTTGAACATCTCACTTACATGTTACATGGCTAATGATGGGGACCCCGGCTTTCATATGGCTATTGTTTTTAAAACACACGGGAAATGGCAAGTGTTGACAAGGATGTGGAGAAATTGAAACTCTTAGGCACTGTTGGTGGGAATGTAAAATGGTACAGCAGCTGTGGAAAAAGATACAGTGGTTTTAAAAAACTTAAAAATAGAACTATCATTTGTTCTAGCAATTCCACCCCAAATCATTGAAAGCAAAGAGATATTTGAATACCCATGTTCAGAGCAGCTTTACTCATAATAGCTAAAATATGAAAGCAACCCTAGTGTCAACTGATGAATGAATAGATAAGCAAAACAGTATATGCATACAATACAGTATTATTCAGCCTTGAAAAGGAAAGAAATTCTGGCATATGGTACAACATTGATGAAACTTGAGACATTATTCCAAGTGAAATATGCTAGTCACAAAAAGACAAATATGGTATGATTCTACTTATATGAGGTATGAGGTACTTAGAATAGTCAAAATCAGACACACAGTACAATGGCGGTTGTCAGGAGCTCAGGGGAAAGAGGGAAAGAGAAAATGAATGTTTAATGGGTACAGAGTGTCAGCTTTGCAAGATGAAAAGAGTCCTAGAGATGGATGGTGGTGATGGTAGCACACATTATGAGCATTTTAATACCACTGAAGTGTACACTCAAAAATGGTTAAGATGGTAGCTTTTATGTTATAGTATTTTACAACAATAAAACAAGAACAAAACCTAAAAACTACAGGTACTTGTGGCCAAATGCTCTATGAGTCAAAGACAGAAGTAGTTTTATGAAGTGAGACGCTAGATCCGGGAAAAGCTTCTTGGTATTTGAATATTCTGTGAGCCAGTGGTCCAAAGCTTTGGGAATCCATGAGACAGGATAATTTTTTTTTTCAATTAGGGAGTGTGGAGCCAATGAAAGATTGACAATGTTTGTTGTGCCAAATAAGAGCATTAAAAAAACAACAACGCTACCATCTATTATCATCAGTTTTCCACAAAAGAAAGGACTTTTTACATCTAAAAAAAGGTAAGAAAATTAATGAAGAATGAGAGAGACTTCTTTCCAGGAGAGGTTAATAGATAGCCTCGACCTATGGCCTATGTTTCTGGCCAATATCTGTTCTTTCCTTCCATGAGATGCTGCAGGACTGTATTTCTCAGCCCCCACACGTCAGGCAGGACGATGGGACTAGTTCTCACCATGGACATGCACCAGGATGCATGCCACCTGTGGGCCAGGGGCTAAGAACAGGTGTGCCCTTTCCACCCTTCTTTCCCATGTCCTGGGAGATGGCAGAGTCCCTGAATGGAGGGAGTTCAAGTCCTAGAATGACCAATGGGACAGCTGTCACCTTCATGGACTGTGATAGGACTGAGAAATAAAACTCTATTTTATTAAGCTACTAATACTCGGGGCTGTTTGCTAGAGATACATTATTATTTAGCTTAACTAATTCATAGTAAATATACCTGTACATTTATTTATAATATGATTTTATTATATTATATGCATTAATTTTTCTCATTGTTCCGTGAACTAATGAAAACTTTATCACAGGGCTGCTTTGGGAACCACTGCTATACTGCCTGAATTTAGAAGCTTAGAAGCCACAAGAGTAGTAGTTAATGAATTCAACTAGTAAGAATCATGACACTTTTTAAATAACCTTTAGATTTTTAAGTACTCCAGTGTAAAATTTACTAGTTACTTTAAATTTAAATCTATTCCTAAGAAATAATAAGGAATCCTTCCAAAATGTATACACACTTTAGCTCAATTTTGAAAATGAAATGTATTTTAATAAACACTGCCTTTATAATTATTCAAAGTGTGTGTATACATTTTTAGGGAACACCTTCTTTGATGATTGGTGCATAGGAATCATTTCTCCTTGGTCTATATCCATCTACTTTGATACTACTTAGCCTGTAAGAATCCTGCTGTTTCATTCACGGTCTACTGAATTTTCCGACTTTGTACAAAATCGTCCAAGGGGCCCTCTGAAAAGTCACTCCAAATATAAGTGATTATAAGCCAGAATGTAATAATATGAAGATATGCCCAGGGAGGAACCACAGCACATATCAATGCTTTGTTAATAGTTCCTAAGCAATATATGTATGGCAAAAACCAATTAACAAAAGAAAACTCTCTTCAAGCTAAAGGTAATATATTTTAAAGGGAGATAAACGTCAAATAGAATATAGGACTTATGGTATCTGAATGTCAATCCTCAGTTTGACTCTGAAGATGGTAATGAGAAGCAACAGTAAGGTTTGATAGTCATGTGTCTGGACTAGCAGGTACATGCATCAACACACAACAGCATCATTTTAGTGTTTCAGATTACTTTTTCAGTGATATCACTATAGATGCTTTGTAAAATCAATCTGAAATCAGTCTTTTGTCTGTATGTAATCATACATTGTCTAACTCCAAAAAGTCCCTGGTACCTCAAGGAGATGGATATAATGGAGACCTTCAGAGCAAGTTTAATACACACACACACACACACACACACACACACACACACACACACACCAGTCAGTCTTGTTACATAAAGTAACAGCTCAGTTTTTGCCCAAAGATTAGCATTACCCAATTTGATGACAGCTGGGACCACTAGTTGTTCATCTGATAATCTCCTCAAATAGTACACACATGGACCAGTCTACGTACAGTGCACATGCAACATCTCTTGATTAGTCATTGATTGAAGATCCCCTTAATTCACCAGACTTTGGTATAAGTGACTGATAGCACTTTCCAAAAGCTGAAGCCATTTTCAAAGACATAGAGTGCATGTTGTGAGGTGGAAGGAGCCCTTTACTTGGAGCCAGAAGTTCTGTTTTGTTTTGTTTTTTTATTTGCCAACTATGTGTTCTTGGCAAGGAACTTTACAGCTCAGGGCCTTGGTTTCTTCGTGCCATGGAAGTAATGCAAAGTATTGGGGTGTTTTGCGGACAAATGGGACAATGTATAAAGAGTACAATACGTGGGATGATTATTTCTTAGGTGTCATTTAAAGGGATAGCGATAGCCTCTAAGAGTAATTGCACACAAAGATTTCCCAAAATATTTGAATTCATGGAAGTTAATTGGAATAACTTTTTTTTTTCTTCACAAAGGAGAGAGTTCTCATTTGTTGCCCTAATCCTGAAATGTTGGTTAAAAACTCAGTCACACTATTACAATCTGAGGGCTTCATAAAACCGGTGACAATTTGACAACGACTTTTACCACCCCCAGCCTTTTCTTTAGTGTTTGCAAAGCAAAGGAACGCCATGGAGACTAAAATGAGAGGGAGGCAGAGATTTAAAATGGAAAGCACCATGACAGGCATCTGAAGTTCCTCTGCATTGGGCTGTGATTAAAGAATGGAAAATATTTTGCAATAAAAATTCTTGTCATTAGGCCAAACACCTTTGTTAGATTAGGTTCCTCTTGGGAGCTCTGGAGCTCACTCCTGGGCAGGCACCTTATCTCTTTAGGGACTGACTTCCCATCTGTGACCAATAATCTCAATACAGAGCTGTCTGAGCCCAGTATTTGTAGGATTTAATTTTTAAAATAGATAGATGTAGGATTAAATTGCCCAGAAAGAGTTAATATCTAAATGCCTTCATATTTGCCCTGTTTTTAAATGACAGAAGCACAGTATTTTGTACATTTCTATAAAATGTCTACATGTTTAGGTATAAAATATGTTTATATGTCTCATTATAAATGTACAATATTTTGTACACTTCTACAAAATATGTTTCTTTATAGGACATTTTGAAATTGCAGAAAAACATAAAGAATAAAATAAAAATCACCCATTATCATCCTTTATTTCTGAGCCTATATATTTTTTCTATGTTTGTACATACAGGGTGGGGCAAAAGTTGGTCTACAGCTGATCATATGGAAAATAATGCAGTAATTGATAAATGATAATACAAGAATAAACTGCTTCGTGTGCTCACAACTGTAAGCCCACTTTTGCCCACCCTGTATTTATGTTATATATGTGTAAATATGTAATACACACTTCTAATGAACACATGTTTACACACTGCTAGGAACTGGCTTTACGATTTAGTATATTGTGAACATTTGCTCATGTCATTAAACATTCTCCTACTGAATGATAGTAAATGGCTGAGGAAGAGCTCATTGCTGTGGGTTTGGTGTGGTCTGGCCTCAGGGTTCAGGGAGCCCCTCACAGGCCTGGCTGGGTCAGCACTTCTCTGCCCCTCTGTGCTCCAGAGGAATGTGTTCTGGTGAGGACAACCCATGGAGGCGCTGGCTGGCATTCTCTGCTGTGTCCACCCGATGTTCCCTGTGCTGTGCCATGGGGTTCAACAGCACCTGCAGCCGAGGACTTTGACAATCTGGAACTGGCCCTTGGGGGGTCGGAGGAGGACGGGGTGCTTTTGGCTATTCCATCCTGCATATTAAAGGAGGCGGCCTCACCAGGAGTTAACTCCATAGGCTCTGGTGTCGGGCAGACTGGGTTTAAAACCCTGTCCTATTGGACCTTGGGTACGGTGCCTAACCAATCTGGGTGAGAGAAGATAATAATAATAATAGTACCTATTTTCTAGAGCTGTTGTGATGATCTAGTAAGAAATTTGTGCAAGGTCAAAGGTGGGATGAGTTACAGAGAAGAATCACAACAAGAATGTAGGGAAGATCCTGGTGTTGGTGTGATGATGAATTTTATGTGTCAGTTACATAAGACCATGGTACCCGGACTGTTGTAAAAAAACAAAAACAGTCCAGCCCTAACTGGTTTGGCTCAGTGGATAGAGCATCAGCCTGCGGACTGAAGGGTCCTGGGTTTGATTCCAGTCAAGGGCAGGTACCTTGGTTGCGGGCACATCCCCAATAGGGGGTGTACAGGAGGCAGCTGATCAATGTTTCTCTCTCATCGATGTTTCTCACTCTCTATCCCTCTCCCTTCCTCTCTGTAAAAAATCAATAAAATATATTAAAAAACAAAACAAAAAACAAAAACAGCCCAGATGTCACCATGAAGGTATTTTTAGATGTGATTAACACTTCAATCAGTAGACTTTGCGTAAGCAGATTGTTCTCCATAATGTAGGTGGGCCCCACCGAATCAGTTGAAGGCCTTAAGAGAAAAAAGACTGACCTCCTCACAGAAGAGGAAATTCTGCCTCCAGACAGCCTTTGGACTTGAACTACAACATCAACTATTCCCAGGGCCTCCAGCTTGCCAGCCTGCTCTGAAGATTTTGGACTTACCAGCTCCCACAATCATGTGAGTCAATTCCTAAAAATCTCTCTCACTAAAAAAAAGATATAGATATAGATACAGAGACAGCGACAGAGACAGAGATAGACATAGACATAGACATAGACATAGACATAGACATAGACATAGAGATGCACATGCACATACACTCCTATTGGCTCTGTGTCTCTGGAGAACACTAGGAAATGCAGGCTGTTATGTAAAGTGTCAGAAAAGTACAGAAGGGTAAAATGGAGGAGGATACTCAGGTAAGTTCAGTGCAAAAGGAAGAGAAAGGGGATTATTGGATATACTCGGAGCAGGAACCATTCCTGTTCATCTTTGTAACCTTAACACCATCCTGGTGTACAAGTATCAAATAAAAAAAGGAGAAAGAAAGAGGGAGAGAGGGGAGGGGTGGGAGGAGGGGAAAGAGGGAGAGGGAGGGCAGGGAGGGGA